GAAACAAGGCTAATCTAGTTGATCACTGGTTCAATCCGAAAAATAGAGGAGAAATAAACTCATGCCCTTAATTGATTGATCAAGAGGAAATATCAGTCAAGATGGAAAGACTAACGAAGAAGAACCAGAAAAACTCACTTAGTTTGAGCACTCGACTGACTATGGGGTGAACTCTGAACGGCCATTTGATTATGAATCCTCTGGGATTCTTGACACGTAATATCCCTAATCGTGTGTTTTCCAAAAGAACACACATGATTAGGGAAGTTATGGTCGAAAATCCCCAAGATTTTCTAATTTAGGGTTCTGCCGGATTTTGATCGGATATTTGGGCAATTCTGGCCATATTTGAGACACGTGGCTATGGGGGTTGGATAGAGGAGGTCAAGGCGGTCCCATGGTGTTAATTTGGGACCGTTTGGCATAACCGGCGACTTGGCCGGAAAACTTCGAACGGATATTTGACGAGTTCTGGTAAGATTTGGGGGCAACGGACAGTGGATTCAGGTAAAGGAAGGGAAGGGGAATCTGGGGTGTAATTTTGGTGGTCATCGGAGCATCGCCGCCGGCGGCGACGATTTCCGGCCGGCGGCGGACGGCGGAGGGACGGTGGGGCTAGGGCGGAGACGGTGGCGTTACACCGGTAGGCTAGAGAGTTGAGAGATGGTGAGGCAGGGGGGTTCTGGGGGGGTGGTGATGTTTGGACATTTAAATATTAAACGATGTGGGCTTCAGGACCGTCCGATCAAGAAACCTCGACGGTCCTGATTGAACGTTGCCCAAACGACGTCGTTTAGGGGGGGGGCGGACTGGACCGGGTTAGGGTGTGGATTGGGCTGGCCTGGCATTTGAAAAAAAAATGAAGCGACCCGGGCCTGATCAATTTAAACGAGACTGGCCCAATTTCATTTCCATTTTCAAGACAAATCAACAAAATTCTTTTTCCTTTTCTTTTTCTTTTCTTTTTTTTTTTCAAAATTAAACTAAAAACCCTAAATTAATTCTAAAAACTAAATTAACCTACCAAATAAGATTAATGCTCAAAATAAAATTTTCACCAACTAATTACTACCAAATTAAAAGAAAACTGCAAGATTCGAAGCTAAATGCAAATGAGTTACTTTTTGTGATTTTCTATTTTTGTAACACAACTAAATTACTAACTAATTCCAAAATGCCAAATTAAATCCTAAATGCCAATGCAACATATTCTTTTGTATTTTTCATGAATTAAATAAAATAAACGTGCACAGACAAATGCAAATAACCGACAAAATGCTGCAAAAATCTACAAAACTGCAAAATAATGAAAGAAATCACTTTGTTTGAATTTCTGGGAATAATTCATATAGGGCAAAAATCACGTGCTCACAAGTATCACCAAGATATCTTGAATTCTTGCATGTGTTAGTTTTATTATAATTTTATATGTTAGTTTGTAAATTAAATAATTAATTTTTATAAAGAAATATTCACATATGGGTTCCATGCTCGATATTTGGAGCTAGTAGCACCAATTTATCCTGAATTTTTCTATGTGTTAGTTTTTTAATTTTATATGTTTGTTTGTAAATTAAATAATCAATTTTTATAATTATACAATATTAAATTATTAAATACTCATATATGGGTTTTCAGGCTCGATATTTGCGGCCCAGTAGCACCAATTATATGTTGACTATAATTGGACAGAGTTTGTGTTTGATCTATCATTTATTTTAACATATTTTTGAGTATAAGAGATACTTAAACTACACGGAAACTACGCTAAAAGGCACTACATTATACTACGCTAAAAGGCACTACATTTTACTACGCTAGAAGGCATTACATTTACTACCCTAAAAGGGCACTATATTACTAGTCTTTAAGAAAATAATATAAATCATATAAAACACAACAAATACATTTTAATCACAAAACATTCACAAAATACATATAAAACAGTAATAGTAATTTATTAACATTTTTATTAACAAATAATAACGATTTCGCAATTTTTACATATTTTTTTAGAACATTAATATCTTAGTCCGGATAAAAATAACATATCAATTTAATCGCAAAAAAAAAAAAAAAAATACAAAACAACATGGAACACATTCAAAACAACTAATATGCATTATTTATACGAGTTTCGACATAAACTAAATCGGAATACCTCGATTTATGTTTTTCGGTAAGTTGAAGAATTGAAAAATTGACTCCGAAACAAGCAACCCACAACAATAGAAGGCTTAGCTAGGATGTGGGACCAACTTTGATTAGTTTTTGTGGGTCGGGTGGGGGTCCACTCGAAGATTTTATTGAGTTAATGTGTGTGGGTGGGACTTTGAGGGTCGGGTGGGGGTGGATTCTATCCAGAACGTGGAGGAAAGGGAAGGGGACGATTATTTATATATGTATAGCACGGTTTGTTAGTGCGTTTTATATAAAACGCGTTAATGAACCGCGCTTTACATAGTCGTCTATCAGCTTCCAAGTAAAGCACGATTTATTAGCGCGGTTTATATAAAACGCAGTAACAAACCGCGTTTTACCTTAACGTCTCAAACGATCGTTAAGGTAAAACGTGGTTCATAACCGCGTTTTACATATTTTGGTAACTAAGGTTTTTTTCCAACTAATTAAGGGGTCGTTTGGTAGGATGAATTAGATAAAATAATGCATGCATTAGCTTTATGTATTAAACAACAACAACAACTACCCAGTAAAATCTCACCAGGTGGGATCTGGGGAGGATAAAATAATGCATGCATTAGCTTTATGTATTAATAATACCTTATTTGGTAGACATTTTGAACCTATGCATTAGTTATGCAAGCATTAGTTATACATCCTGTTTGGTATTATCCTATGCATAACTAATGCATAGAAAACCATGGTATTAGCAATGCAATGACTTTTAATGCATGCATTAGCTTAGCTAAAGATAAAATTGTCCTTCAAAATTTATGCTTGATTAAAATATGCTAGTTATTATATTAATGCAAGTTTAAAATAATCCATATAGTGAGAAATAAAATTATATCTCTAGTAAATAAATAAATGCTTAGCATATATATTTCCTTTTGTATAAATAAATATTTAGTTCTATATTACAATACAGGTAGACAAATCAAATAATTATTTTTAAACTTTTTCATATAAAAACCTTTCTCAACATATGTTTCTTTAAAAATGTTAGAGTGATGGAATGGTTTTGAGGGCATTTTTGCAAACAAATAATTCTTTTAGAAATTGTGCAATACTTTAATACATCAAACCAAACAATGGATAAGAAATATATCAGCATAACTAATACCATCATAACTAATACAAGCATAACTAATATTAGCATTACTAATACATCCTATTACCCCTAAGTATTTTGAGCCAACATTTCGGTTCCGATTGTATCTACACCACAGGATCTGTAATTTTCTTTTTTTTACCGCCACTTTCAATACTCCATTACTTATCA